CTCTTTCTAACCACTCTTCCCCCAGCCTGTAGCGCTGCGTGGGGTTTTTGTGGCCGAAGTGTAGGACCCAGCACTTGTTGAAATTTCTGTTCATTTTGCTGGATATTCAGATGTTACAAAAGGTAGATTCATGACCAGATATCCTCAAGAGTGCAAGCTTTATGGCACAGCGCCAAGATCTCCAGTCTTGCAATGAACTGGTTGATGCCACTAGATTTTGCTTCTTACACATTTGACTTGATTTGGTTGTTTGTTTGCTTCCTTGTTTGTGTTTACTTTAAATTTGATTTCTGTGACTGCTGTAGTTTTCCATTAGTGCAAAAGAATCTTCTGTTTGGTCTTATTTTTTTACCTAGTTAGGCCTGCTTACCATTCTGACTTTAGTCTTGGGATCACAAAATTTGCCAATTGATTGATGCTGGGGGAAAAAAAAGAGCAGAGTTGTTAATCTTGCCTTACTGCTGTATAACCTGTTAATTTTGATTTTTGGTTAAACACACTCTCAGCACTGATTTATTTTTTTTTTTCACATAGAGAAAGATACTTCATGTGTGAACCAGCATATTGACGTTTTTGTGTGTCTGCAGACAGCTCCAGTATCTTTTGGGCTCTTAACTTTTTTAGAAAAAAAAATAATCAACTGTGAGTCTAGTTGTTCTTGTCCATCACTTAGTGACTTTATGAACCATGGACTAGCGCTGTGGAAGGTAGGGGTGCACAAGAGAGCTGCTTAATATTCAAGCGTCACTTTCTCCAAGCTTAAGATTGGCGCATGAGCGAGAAATCAAGTGAAGAAGGCAGGAAACCTGTATGGATAAGCAAGGAGCTTCTGGCAAAACTCAAATGGAAGAAGGAAGTTTATGGAATGTGGAAAAAGGGACGGGCCACTTGGGAGCAAAGTAGGAATGTTGTCAGAGTATGCAGGCATGTGATGAGGAAGGGTAAGGCCCACTTGGAATTAAATCTGGCAAGGGTTGTCAAGGACAACAAGAAGGGCTTCTACAAATACATCAGTAGCAAAAGGGAACCTAGGGAAAATGTGGGTGTGCTGTTGAACAAGGTGGATACCCTGGTGACAGAGGATACAGAGCAGGCAGATTTACAGAATGCCATCCTTGCTTCAGCCTTTATGGCTAGGGCAGGCCCTCAGGAATTCCAGATCCTGGAAATAAGAGAAGAGGCCTGGAGAATGGGAGACTTTACCTTGGTTGAGGAGGATCAGGTTAGAGGTCATTTGAGCAAACTGGACACCCAGAAATCCATGGGCCCTGACAGGATGCACCCATGAGTGCTGAGGGAGCTGGCAGATGTTATTGCAAAGCCACATTCCATCACCTTTAAAAATTCATGGAGAACAGGAGAGGTACCTGAGAACTGGAGGAAAGCCAATGTCACTCCAGTCTTTAAAAAGGGCAAGGAGGAGGACCCAGGATATTACAGGCCAGTCAGCTTCCACTCCATCCCTGGAAAAGTGATGGAACAGCTCATTCTGGACGTCATCTCTAAGCAGCTGGAGGAAAAGAAGGCTATCAGGAGTAGTCAACATAGATTCACCAAGGGGAAGTCATGCTTGACCAATCTGATAGCCTTCTGCGATGGCATGACTGGCTGGGTAGATGAGGGGAGAGCAGTGGATGTTGTCTACCTTGACTTCAGCAAGGCTTTTGACACTGTCTCCCATAACATCCTCACAGGTAAGCTCAGGAAGTGTGGGCTAGGTGAGTGGACAGTGAGGTGGGTTGAGAACTGGCTGATCGGCAGAGCTCAGATGTCGTGATCAGTAGCGCAGCGTCTGGT